AATTAGAATAAAATGTGATGGGTGAGAAAAGAGCCTTTTAGCCACTCCCCAACGTCCCTGGCCTAGTGTTTTGCAAGGTCAGCCTCGAGGGTGAACTGAACTGAACGCTGAGGAGGCAGCCGAGCAGGTGAGAGTCAGGAGAGGACAGCGAGGGCAGAGGGGAGCGCAGGGCGGTGGGTCTGACGTTGCGAAAGGATTACGGGACAGGTTATGTACCCAAGAGCGGGCGTGTCCCTGGCATACCCATGAAAGGAGGGCCCTACCTCCGTGTTGCAACTCTCCCACTGAGGGTGAAGGGGCAGTTGGGGAAGTTTTATGACCTCAAGGACAGTCCTCTCCCGTGGAGGAGGTTTCAGTCCAATGACTGACACCAAAACGCATGTGTGTGTCTAAGGAAATCCTGGGGAGAAGGAAGTGGTACCCTAAATTCATGAAGCTGGACAGGAGGGCTTCTAGGTGGGTTCTTGTTTTTTGTGTTTTTTTTTAAATTACTTCATTTGGGGACCAGCAGATGGCATAATGGCTACGTCGCTGGACTCTCATGTAGTCAACCGCAGTTCGAGTACCAGACACGTGCTCTCCAGAGAGAGAGAAGGAACGTGAGAACTCCCCCCCTCTTCCCCTCTGCCCCTTGGTGAACGTTTATCTTGCTATCCCTTCTCCATCTCTCTCTTTCCTTTCGGATTTTGGGCACACATGTGCATATGCCCAGAGCGTTTTTCAAGCCAAGTCTGGGACTTGAACTGTGTGGTTGGCCCTGTGAGATCCACCGCCTTGACCACCACGCCATGGAGCTGGCCCATCTCACGCTGTCTGTTCTGGTGCCCCAGTGGGTCCATACTTTGGACTCAAGGTGATATCAAAATCTTAACCACTGGGAACCAGCAGTTAGCGTAATGGCTATGTCGCTGGACTCCCACGTAGTCGACCGTGGTTCGTGTCCCGGACCCGGTGGCTTAAAACTCACACCGGGCGCGTGTGCGTGCGTGCCCAAGATCCCGAGAGGAGAATGGAGGAGAAGGGATTGCGGCGTGACCATCCCCCCTGGGGGGGATTTCTCGCTTTCTGTCTCTATGTCTCTCTCTGTCTGGCGAGCGCACGCGCCCTACAGTGAAAATCTCTCAAAAAAAAAAAAAAAAGAAAAAGAAAAAGAACAAAATCTTAACCACTGAGGACTAATCTCACTTTGGGGTCACGACACCTTGTCTTACATTCACAAATATCCTTGGTGGGGGGCTGGTAAGTGGCGTGGTGGTTAAGGCGCTGGACTCCCACGTGGCTGACCACAGTTCAAGTCCCAGACTTGGAGGCTTGCTTTCTCACTTTCCCTCTCTCTCTCTCTGGTCAATTTAAATCATAATGATGAGGAAGAGGAGGATGAACGAAATTAAATAAAATAATTCTTAAGAAAAAAGAAAGAAAGAAAGAGAGTTCCTAGATTGGGCCTGTGGAGTTTCCTGGGAACTGGACTGTCACTCGGTGCTAGGGGTACAATTCTAGTTCAGAATTCAGTCGGCAGGAAATAGACAAAGGAAACTTGTCAGTTTCTGATTTCAACACTGAGGAGTCTCCCCCTTTTCTTCTCCGCAGAGTACAAATGTGAAAGAAACGAGTTCCAGTGCCGAGACGGGAAGTGCATCTCTTACAAGTGGGTTTGCGATGGCCTCCCCGAGTGCCAGGACGGCTCCGATGAGTCTCAGGAGACCTGCAGTGAGTCGCCTCTGGACATGACAAACCTCCCAACCCTCTCCCCCTTTTTAAAAATGTATTATCATTATCTTTCTTTTTTTTTTTTTTTTAAGATTTATTCATTCATTCATTCATTCATTTTAATTTGACCAGAGAGAGACATAGAGAGAGAGAGAGGAAAGTGAGAAAGCAAGCCACCATGTCCAGGACTCGAACCATGGTTGGCCATGTAGGAGTGTCCAGTACCTTAACTACCATGCCACCTGCTGGTCCCTATTATCATTATCTTCCTATTTAAAATTTTTTTTTTTGTTAATTTTATTTATTCATTCATTTTTTTTTAATTTGACAGAGAGTGAGAGAGAAAGAAAGGGGGGAAGTGAGAAAGCAAGCCACCAGGTCCAGGACTCGAACCGTTGCCAGCCATGTGGGAGTGTCCAGCGCTTTAACCACCACGCCACCTGCTGGCCCCCGATTCTTCAATTTTGACCGGAAAGAGACAGACAGAGAGAAAGGGAGAATGGGAAAGTAAGCCACTAGGTTTGGGACTTGAACCGTGGTTGGCCCTATGGGAGTCCAGCGCCTCAACCACCATGCCATCGGCTGGGCCCCCAACCCCTTTTTCTTTGTGTTAAGGGGCAGGTGTTGTGTGCTCACCAGAGACAAAGAGAGGGAGAGGGAGAAATTGCCCCCAGTGGGGTGTGGTCACACCACAGTTCCTTCCCCATTTCTCCATCCTGTTAGGATTTGGAGTGCTTTTCAAGCCACTAGGGCTGGGATTCAAACTGGTCTCCCGTGTGGGATCTGAGTCCTTGAACCACCAGGCTGTAGAGACAATCCCCCAAATTTTTAAATTTTTTAATTTTATTTTATTTTATTTTTTTTACTTTCAGGTGTTTCCATAGGATGTGTGTACTCACTCACTGGAGAGACAGAGACAGGGAGAGAAAGCAAGAAATCCCCTCCCGGGGGGATGATCACACCGCAGTCCCTTCTCCTCCATTCTCTTGGGATTTTGGCCATGCGTGCAAACACATCTGGCATGTTTTTCTTTTTTTCCTTTTCTTTTTTAGAGAGATTTTTACTGTAGGGCACATGCGCTTGCCAAAGAGAGTCAGAGAGACAGAAAGTGAGAAATCACCCCCCGGAGGGTGATGGCCATGCCACGACTTCTCGTCTGTTCTTCTCTCGAGATCTTAGACGCGCACGCACATCGGAGTGTTTTAAGCCACCAGGTCTGGGACTCAAACCGTGGTCGACTATGTGGGGGTCCAGCGATATAACCATTATGCCATCTGCTGGCCTCTCTGACATGTTTTTCAAGCCACCAGGTCCAGGACTCGAACCACACAGTTGGCCTTGTGAGATCCAGCTGCCTTAACCTCCATACCACCAGCTGGCCCTAAATATCCAATTTTCTTTTTTAATAATTTATTTATTTAATTAATTCCTTTTTTTTCTTTTTTTCTAATTTGACCAGAGAGAGAGAGAGGGAAAGCATGAAAGCAAGTCTCCAGGTCTGGAACTCCAACCACTGCCGGCCATGTGGGAATCCAGCAGCTGGCCCCCCTAAATGTCCTATTTTTTAACAAGCTCCTTTAAATGCCCTTGGTTTTGACCCATGAAAGTGGAACTGGCTCTCTCTTCCCAGAAAGGTCTGGGGACTTCTCTTTGCAGAGATGGGACTGATGGGGGGCCGGTTTCCGTTCCGTTAGGGTTCACACCTGTTTCCCCTCCAGGGTCTGTCACCTGCAAAGCGGGAGACTTCAGCTGTGGGGGCCGTGTCAACCGCTGCATTCCGCAGTCCTGGAGATGCGACAGCCAAGTGGACTGTGAGAACGGCTCCGACGAGCAAGGCTGTGGTAAGTGTGGCTTGGTAGCTGGCACACCTGGGCCACGCCACGTGGTTAGGCCCCCGCCTGCACCAATGGGGCTGCGGGAGCTCTGGGGAGTGGCTGGACTTTGCTCACCAAGCAGCCCTGCCCGAGCGATGTATTAACTGCCCCTCGCTGGGCATCTTCTGCGGGCTTGGATCAAGCCCTCTCTGGCCTCTCAAATCCCACTTAAAAATTTTTATTGTTGGGGAAAAAAAAAAAATTCATTATTGGGACCAGCAGATGGCATACTGGTTACATCGCTGGCCTCCTACATAGTCTACAGTGGTTAGAGTCCCAGACCTGGAGGTTTCAAACTCACACTGGGCACGTGTGCGTGCATGCCCAAAATCCTGAGAGGACACTGGAAGAGAAGGGATCACAGTATGGCCATCCCCCTCTGGGGAGTGATTTCTCGCTTTTTGTCTGTTTCTGGTGAGTGCATGTACCCTGTAAATAAAAAAAAAATCATTATTGGGTTC